ATGTAGCGACACAGGTAGTTGTGAATAAAACGCTTGCGTCACTTACTTAACAGAATATCTATTGAATTATTTATTTAAGTGAAAAACAAAAGTTTAAGCTAAATACAATTTACGTAGAGGAGCGAGCATCCGTACAGGTCGACGAGCCAAATAGAAAAGGAATGAGATTAGAGCACGCTAGTTAGACGTGTGTATTTTCCAGGCTCGATACTGGAATTTGACATATTGAGCTAAGCTCTCAGCTGTTTACGAGTACGCAGCTCTCAGTGTGTTGAAGAGTTGCCACATACATACCTTATAAAAATCAGTAGTTGCAGCCAAATTTATATCAGTACATACTTTATACAATTCGTTTAAAAAATCTAGGCCGTTATTATGAGTTGCATTCGATCTACGAGTGTGGTCGAAAGTGCTAATCGAACGAATTTTCATTTGGTATTATGGCGCTCATTTGATGACGAATAGCGCTATTGTGAATTTCGCTCGTTTAGGTTGTTCACAATAGTATATTTTTCACCGCTGAGAAGCTTTGTTTACAGATCGAGCAAACTAAATAGAGTGCTTTTACATATGTATGTACATATGTAAATTTGTGCAAATTAAAATGAAATAAAAAAGTAAGTGAGTTTATAAAAGCGTAGTAAAAAAAAATTTTAATTAGCACAACGGAGTTCTGGTTGAACGATTCGTCAGAGGATGAGGGCTTAAAAAACTGGCCAAGAGCATAAAACGTGAGAGTTTAGTCTTTCGAATATATTTTGACATACAATAATATATTTAAGAAATTTTGTGATCCAAATCTCTTTAAAATATATTAAAACCAAGATACAAAAAGAGGGTAGTTTCATTTAATGACATTCGTTGTTGTTGTTAACCATTTGACTTTTAATAAAATTATGACATTTCATTAAATTCATGCTACCTGATCACGAGCAGTAATATTTTTCAGAAAATTTCATCAGTCCACTCAAAGATGTCGAATATGATGAACCTGAAAATTAATGCATAATCTCAAAAAGGTGGTTGACGAGACTA